CCTAAATATACTAGCTTATCTAGTGTACAACAAGTTACATAATTTATTATTCATTCAAAATATTTCTCAATTTCTGATTGGCAAAAAGCACATGCATAATTCACCATAACCAGCTACTGTTGACCAAATTTGGAAGAATTTTGCGATTAATCAACCAATGATGACAAAAGTGCAGCACCGAGTTGCAGGTTAATGCACCATTAACCGAGAAGACCTTGGGATGAGGTTGAGTTGTTTTGGTTGTGAAGTGAAAAATGGACCAATTTCAAGTATTTGGTAACAAAGACAAGTTGTTTACAAATTTTTTGGATAGGTTTTAAACCCTTTTCAAATTTGTTTTTCCTCCACAAAAGGGATAGGAAACGAGCAGATCTGTTCTTAGTCTGCTTCAAATCTGGTGAAACATCTGTATCAGATCTGCAGATAGTCTACAGATCATCTACAGATTATCTGCAGATTATCTGCAGTATGTCTGCAGAATATTTGCAAGATGTCTGCAGAATGTCTGCAGAACTGATCTGCAATTTGTGCAGATCGACATTCTGCAGATGAAGCAGAAGGAGGTATAAATAGCAAGCAAAATAAAAGGTGTATCGTACCACTCAAACACCTTTTATTTTTACCGTAAATACAAAAAACATTCTCTCAATTTGCGCCAAAAAGCTTAGGATAACTGTTAACTACAACTGGAAGCCTATCACTTTAGTAATGAAACAAAACAAACAAGAAAATTAAAATGACAGAACATTGAGAATTAAGTCTCATCAATTAACAATTTTTGCTTGTCGGTGGCTTGTGGATGTGAGAAAAAAAATTTTTAAATCACAACAGACTGTCCTGTAAACACACGGTCACAGACTCTTGCTTAAATTTCTTAAATGAATATCACATCAAAAGGCCGACATTTTAAAACTCCATGTCTGTGAGATTTTATTTTGAGTTAGGTTTAACTGTAATGACCATAAGGTTCATTCTATGTTACTGTGTAAAACTGGTAGGTACTCAGTCATGTTAACAGTTTTGGAACTGATTTGCCGGCAGCATTCATGAATGTACTTTGTAAAGCTACACAAAGGCTTGAGAATAACATAAAATGAGAGTATGGAAATTTTCCCAATGCTTTTTATAATGAATTGCATGTAGCTAATGTTTAAATTTATTGACAAAGCAGCAAATGGGCCTGGCAAGAGAGTCTTAGTTGTTTCGAATTGATGAACATGCATGCTAAAGACAGCTTGCAAACACTGCAGACTTTACAGATCTGTTTTTCATCTGTTTTTCAGCTGCAGGAAAACATCTTTGCAGATGATTAGCAGTAGTGTCTGCTCCCGGGTGTCTGTTACAGACTAAAAACAGACTTTTCAGACAATAAAATAGTCTGCAGACGCTAAAATAGTCTGCAGTTAGTCTGTTTTTCATAAGGCAGATCTGACATCACGGCAGCCATGTTGGATGACAAACACAAAAGCTCTCTCCTCTGGGAACTCAACTCTATTTTCCTTTTCATGTATTGCATTGTCATCCAGCCTGGTCGCCCTTTCACGTGAATGCAAACCAAGAGTATTAGGTGTTGTTAAAACAGTACGGAAATCTTGCCCCAGTGAAAATATCTTCAAAGTTTAAGTTTCCTACCTGAATCCAGAAATCCAGAAATGAATTAATCAGGTGATTAATAGCCTCAATTCTTTTATAAAACGCGGACCTAAGCCACCTTGATTCCTTTCAATAGATAGCCTGGATAACGTTTCAAGTTCATTGGATTCTGGCTCCTATGGTCTCGGGTTCTCATCCCGTTATAAAAGAATCAAAATCAACTGAGAAGATTTTGTTACAACCCACCCTGCCTGGAAATGCGGGCTCATATTTTCAGTTATAATGAAGGTCATGTGATACAGTATCAAATTTTATGCATAATCATGTTCAAATCTACGAAGAAATTATTGAATATATAATAATTATTCAAAGTGGAGGTGGCTAGTGATGAATAATATTTACCAACCAGCGAAGAGACCAGGTCAATAGCAACAACTAGCCACTGACAGTGAGGTGAATAATTGGTTTAGTATATACTAAGACAGTGAGGTAATCGAGCACAAAAATTATGATTTACTGTTGCCAACGATTACAATTTTGGCGCACAATGACCGAACGGCCGAGACCGTCGCCTTTTCTTGCCGACAAATAAAACGTTTGGAAGCATTTGTTTTAAGCTCTTGCAGGGAAATTTCTTCAAAAGGAGATGTCATTTCATTTTTGTATTTAAAATCATTCTGTAAAAGAGATTATTAAATTTAGTTTTAAGCTTATTTATGAGCAAGTCAAATAAATAAAAAAAAGCAAGACTTGAGATTAACCTGCATTTGCAAACAAAAAACGTTTTCACCAGTTTCGTCGTGTACTTCGGGAACAACTTGCATGATTATTTGTGAAGTTTTTTTGTTTGTTACAGCAGCAAAACCGAAGACATTCTGCTCGAAACTTACCCTATTTCGCGTCGCAAACTCGGAGTAACTGCAGGTGAATCAGTAAATAGCATTGGATATTCATTGGTTTAGTAGCCAATCAGAGCGCGCGAAAAATAATATCAACTGTTTAGTATATAATCTATATATTACGGTATTGTAATTGGTATTGTCACTATGTAAACAACTTATTGGCTATTTCTTATAAGTACCTTGGCGAGAGACCACCTAAGAATAGCCCGTGTTGAAGACACCTCCTTTCTCCTCTCCTCGCCTACCATTTTCATTCTGTCTGCTCGCAACAACTACGTAGTTTTTCTCTCTTTTCTTGATAGCATTTTTTAAACTATCTTTAAAGACTAGCCAAAGACACTGCAAATGACTCTGAATCAAACGAAGACAGGACAACCCCTACAAAGATTGTCACACTCCATAGTGTGGTTTCCTCTTTTCCACAAGGTCCAGCCTTAGCATGGAATTGAAACTGTGATTCAGATTAACAACGCCATGAGCTTTTTATAGAGGAAAACATTTCACCGCAGTTATGTTGTCAAACTACTTGCGCTTGTTGCAGACGTCAACACTGAGTCCAATAAAGAAGCAAGAAGACGGAACTCAACTATTAGATCTTACCTTTCGGCCTCTTGCTCTCCCCCTCTACGACCCCACCACAGGAAAAAAACCAGTTCCCATTCAAACATCGAAGTAAAGTCCTGTCGGGCGGGTCTAGTACCTTGGCGGGGGACCACCTGGGAATAGCCCGTGTTGCAAACATCTCCTTTTGCTCGTCTCGTTAACTATTTTCCTTCTGTCCGCTCGCGAGCTTTACGCGATGTTTTTTTTCTCTTTTCTTGTTAATGTTCTTTACACTATCCTAAAAGACTAGCCAGAGACGCTGCAAATAACTTTGAATCAAACGAAGAAAGGACAGCCCCTACAAAGATTGCCACACTCCCTAGTGTAGTTTCCTCTTTTCCACAAGGTCCATCCTTAGCGTGGAATTGAAACTGTGATTCAGATTGACAACGCCATGAGCTTTTTATAGAGGAAAACATTTCACCGCAGTTATGTTGTCAAACTATTTGCACTGGTTGCAGACGTCAGAGTTGGCCACTGAGTCCAATAAAGAAGGAAGAAGACGGAACTCAACTATTTGATCTTACCTTTCGGCCTCTTGCTCTCGTCGTCTACGACCACACCACAGGGGAAAAAGTGGTTCCCACGTGCTCGGAGAATTAGTTCTGTTTTTGTGGTTATTGTTGACGACACTGTGTGGGATTTATTTCCAGTCAGTTCCTAAGACACTACTGGAGATTTATTTTTGTCTTTTGGATTGAAATCTGTGCTACTAAAGGAGCAGTTTGGTTTACTTCGGGAAGGCCAAGATGGCCGACCGGAAGGTTCGAAGTGTTACCTTTAAGATGCCGCTTAATGTGACCCTGAAGGAGTTAAAAGAAGCTATTGATGGATCGATTGAATCAAATGTGACTGTTTTTCAAGATTTGGGAAATGGAGAATACTTAATCGAGGTTTCAAATCAACGAGATGCAGAGGCGCTGGTAGAAGAAGGATATGACTTCGAGGATACCCACGTTTCTTGTTATCCAAAACACGGCAAGCTGAGTAATGTCAGCATTTTAAATCTGCGCTCCTGCATCGAGGATGATGAAATCAAAAAGGTCCTCAGCCAGTATGGAGAGGTAAAGGGGGATGTTATCCGTTTAAAATATAAAGCTGACCATGCTTTCGCCGGATTGGAGAATGGCAATCGTTTAATAAAGATGGTGTTAGAGACGAGATCTATTCGATATTTACTACGAATCGGCGGTGAATGGTGTCGAGTTATTCACAGCGATCAACAACCTGTCTGCAGTGAATGCAAGGAGCTTGGGCATACTCGTAAAAGATGCCCCGAGATCATTTGTCGAATTTGCAAGGAAAAAGGCACAGGTCCTATAATTGTGATCGAAGGAACAACCGTGATGAGGTTGAACAACAGATGGGCGATCAAAATGAAACTTCGACTAATTCCGAAAATACTGCAACAGCGGAGAATGTGCCTGTCTCTACGCCTACCAACGATGCAGGCAATGCGAATTCGAATGAAGAAATTGGGAAGGATAATATAAATGGAGAGTCTAGTAATGATATTGCTGATCACGGAAATTTAGAAGAGATGGAAATCAAAAAACGAGCGCAAGGATGTAAGAGGCAACTCGCAGTGGATTCCTCAGATTCTGATAGCAAAGCACCACCTCGCCGACAGCGGTTGAATCCTGCCCCGAATGTGAAAAATAGTGGAAAGCAACGAGATAAATCAACGACTGGCAAAACAACAACATGAATATCTTTTTATCAAGACTCATGATGGCTTGGTTGATTATATCCTTATTACCTATTACAACCCTAATGACGATTGTTGCAAGTATAAACTGCCAAGGGCTTAGATCTGCGGATTGACGAAAAACAGTTTTTTCTTTTTTCACCCGCAGCAGATTTGATATTATATTTTTGCAAGAAACTCACTGGACGGATGATATGGAAATTGAACCACAACGCGACTGGCAACTCACGTTTCCTGCACCCACGAGACAAATTCCGCGAGAGGCGCTGCGATTTTAATTAACTCGCGCCTAGATTACAAAGTTAAAGAGACAAAATGAGACAATGAAGGTCGTGTTTTGAATCTTGTAATTGAAATGGATGAAGAAACGATAAACTTAGTAAATGTTTACGCCTCCAACACCGACACTGAACGGCGGACTTTTTTCTTGAATTTAGAGCCCTTTACTTCAAAGGAATACGAAAACATAATCGTGGGTGATTTCAACTCTGTCATGGACAACAGACTGGATAAACTTGGTGGAGATCCAAATTCTCGACAAGCTACAACTTATTTTCTGAGTACGTTTAATGAACGTTACGATCTATGTGATATTTGGAGGGAAGGACACAAGGATGAGCGGAATTATACGTGGACTGGCCGTATGACTTCTAACCATTTATTCATTCGGACAAGAATTGACTTTTTCCTTACTAGCCGCGCCTTGAACCAGTTTATTACCGCAGTAGATATTAAGCCTTACGGACATTCCGATCATGATTGTATAACGCTGCCAATTGATTTTGATAAGGTTCACCGTGGACCTGGCTACTGGCATTTTAATAATGATTCGCTTACCGACGTTGTATTCCAGACGGAGATTGAGCAGTTTTGGACCGGTTGGCAGGAAAAATTTTAAAACTTTCCTGATCCTCTAAAATAGTGGGATAAAGCCAAACAAAACTTTAAGATTATAGCCATCAGGCAAGCCAAGATTAGGGGTAAATTGCTTCGCAACGAACGTTTTCAGTTAGAGAATAAATTAGTACATTTGCAAGAGCGAGCGAAGAATGGCACGACACACAGGATATAAAACAATACCTCCTTACGAAAGAAAAGCTTAAGCAGTTAGATTTGAAAGACCTGGAGGCTACTAAAATACGTGCAAAAGCTTAATTTATAGAGGAAGGAGAAAAAAGCACGCGTTACTTTTTTTCTTTGAAGAAGAGTCGTAAAGCGAATCAGACAATTCCGGTACTGACTAAAGATAATCTAGATACCGTCACCGAGACAAGAGATCTACTTTCTGAGACTCGTGCTTTCTATAAAAAATTTTATTCAGCGGAGCCATGTGATGAAAATGCACTGGAGACCTTCTTTAATGCTACGATTCCAAATTTGCCAGAGGACGCGCGTAATTCGTGTGAGGGAGAACTGACGGAGGAGGAATTGCGTAAAGCAGTCACCGCAATGGAACTTGATAAATCGCCTGGAATAGACGGACTAACAACCAATTTTTATAAACATTTTTGGCCCCTTTTTGGCACTAGATTAACACAAGTCTACAATTATGCATTTAAATCTGGACAGCTCTCCGTCTCGCAACGCCGAGGAGTTATTTCCCTACTGTTCAAGAAAGGGGATCGGACTTTGCTCAAAAACTGGAGACCGATTACGCTTCTTACGACTGACTACAAAATCTTAACGAAAGCGCTCGCTAATAGGCTCCAACAAGTTCTACCTCTTATAGTTCATACTGACCAAACTGCATCGATCAAAGGAAGGACTATTAATGACAACACGAGGCTATTGCATGATGTGATTACTTATGCAAATGTGAATAACATTCCACTCGCGCTCATAAGCGTGGATCAATTGAAGGCTTTTGATCGCGTCTCGCATGATTTTCTTTTTAAAACATTGCAGCGCTTTGGATTTGGCCCGGACTTTGTGCGATGGATTCAGGTTATCTACAATTCTGTATCGAGCTCAGTAAAAACAAATGGTTGGCTTACATCCTTTATTGGATTAGAGCGGGGCCTCCGACAGGGTTGCCCACTATCTATGCCCCTCTATGTATTAACAGCGGAAACAATGGCCTGTAATATTCGGCAAAACCCAAGGATCCATGGCCTTCGACCGCCGGATTCGAACGCAGAACTGAAGCTTTCTCAGTTTGCTGACGACACGACTTTGTTGTTGACTGACGAACAATCCATCATTGAGACTTTTAACACCTTTGACCTATATGAACGCGCTTTCGGCGCCAAGGTCAACAAAGGAAAATGCAAGGGCTTATGGTGTGGCGCCTTCGCACGGCGTACTGATCAGTTATTCGGGTTTGATTGGTACAATGCCTTTATTCCCGATAAGATCCTTGGCCAGTATTTTGGAAATGTGGATTGTACCCAGAGAAACTGGGAAGCTAAAATTCAGAAGATTAACAATATCATCGCTGCCTGGCGCCACAGAGATTTGAGTTTAAAGTCTATGCCTCCTTGGGCCGTTTCACAAATCGAGCGGTCGATTTACGCTTTTTTCTGGAGTAACAAACACCCATTAGTGAATAGAGAAATCTTAGCGCTTCCACTTGGAGAAGGCGGCTTTAACATTCCTTTATTGCAGACCAGGATTTATGCATTTAGATTAAACACCCTCAAGAGGCTCCTATCTGTGGGGGACGCCCATTGGAAATATTTTACGGCTTATTTCCTTCGTGTGGCAAACATGAAGCTTGGCAAGATGACACTTGTCTTAGACTACTCACCCCAGCGTATTGATGGCGACATTCCTGCGTTTCATCGAGAACTACTAATGGCATGGTACAGGCATAAGGAATGCCACACCCGTACCCAGATCCCTGAATTGATCACAGATGTCCTTAATGAGCCATTATTCCTTAATGATTTGATTACTTCTCAGGAAAAGCCTCTTCTATACACGGACTGGATTGCAGCAGGTATCACTCGTGTTAAGGACATCTGTTACGAAGCGGTCCCCGGGTTCTTACCTCCTGAGGCCATTCACGAGATATTAACTGATAGTAAGCCTCACGCCTTATCGAGAGCAATACGGGAGTATCGGGACCTCCTGGCCGCGATCCCCAAGCAGTGGCTTCACCTAATAAATGCAAATCACTCACGACAGCTACCCATACTACAGCCTTGTTTTGTAATTAACACCTCGAGTCCCGGAAGCACCCCACCTGACCTGCTAGCGTGCAAGACACGTACCTTCTATCATCACCTTCATCAGCTACAGAAGCCAACGATCCCTGCGATAGATAAGTGGAAAGAAATACTACAACCTGCGCCCGATTTCAGCACGAAGCAATGGAAAACGCTATACTCGCCCCTAATTTCTAACAAACAAGGCGATATTAATTGGAAGGTTGCACATCGGGTGCTACCAACAGCCCTCTCGTTGAATAGAATGAATGTGTACAACTCGTCTGTCTGTCATCGCTGTGGCGTTACGGACACCATCGAACATGCTTTAATTGATTGCCCTATTATTGATGCATTCTGGACGAAAGTTCAACCCTTAATTGACAAGATTGCGAATAACAACCTACCTTTAACAGTCGGACTTAAAGTATGGGGCAAAGTCCCAAAAACTAGTGATTTATTTAGTAAAAAGTATACTGATTTAATTAACTGGATCTTAACCATAAGCAGGTGTGCAATTCACAAATAAGCTGTTTACCATAGAGTTCGTAATCAGACCGTACCACCCGAGGCCATCTTTGGCTCGATTGTCAAGTCACATCTGCGTCAACAGTTCAAGTTGTATGTACAACGCGGGTCTCAATTTTACTTTCCTTTGGACTGGTGTTTAGGCAAAGCCCTCGCAAAAGTTGAAAATAATCGATTAGTTTTCACAATCTAACTGTAAAACAAGGTGTGAATTAGAAATCAACGTCATGAAAATACGCATGTAAAGTAGCAAGTAGATATACACGTTAATGATTATTTGTATTTGTAAATAAAAAGCTCCACGGAGCCTTTTTAGAGAAAAAAAAAAAACCGTTCCCATCCGAACACCGAAATAAAGTCCTGTCAGGCGGGTCTAGTACCTTGGCGGGGGACCACCTGAGATTAGCCCGTGTTGCAGACATCTCCTTTTGCTCTTCTCGCCAACTATTTTTCTTCTGTCTGCTAGCGAGCTTTACGTGATTGTTTTTTTTCTCTTTTCTTGTTAGTGTTGTTTAAACTATCCTAAAAGACTAGCCAAAGACACTGCAAATAACTCTGAACAAAACCAAGACAGGACAGCCCCTACAAAGATTGCCACACTCCCTAGTGTAGTTTCCTCTTTTCCACAAGGTCCATCCTTAGCGTGGAATTGAAACTGTGATTCAGATTATTAACGCCATGAGCTTT